GCCCACGAGGTGGAGGGCACAGGTGGCCAAACGAATGTGCCCGTCCGCGTGCAGCGTGTGCGTTGACGTGGGCGAGTGCGAGAGCAAGACGAGGTGGCCGAGCGGTTAAGGCGTTGGACTGCTAATCCAATGTGCTCTGCCCGCGTGAGTTCGAATCTCATCCTCGTCGGTGCGTTGTTTTGCGGTGCCGAAGAAGGAGGCACAGATTCGTCGCCGCCATTCGATCGCCGACGACGCGGTCCTATGGCGTAATGGTTAGCACTCAGGACTCTGAATCCTGCGATCCGAGTTCAAGTCTCGGCGGGATCTAATTTTATCTAGAGTGACGCACTTTCGGGCGGTGCAGGCGGCCCGACACTTGCGTCTCGGTGGTAGGGCACGAGCCTCCAAAGCTCCTGGTAACCTCCCAGGCCGTGCGCTTTGCCGCCGCCTGGCTTGTCAGCCCTCTTCACGCCACACGTGCCGTCCGATGCAGATCGCTACCGCCCGCGTCCCCACTTATCAGCCCGGTTGGCCTAGTGGGCTGAGGCGCGCGCTGCTGGCTGCTAGGCTCGGGTTCGATCCCAGCCCGGAGCGTCGCATTTTCGTGACTCGTGTGTACAGACTTTTCTCTGCCCCCATCCTGTAGGCAAGGTGAAACCTGATCCCACCTCAGCTCCCTTCTATCAGGCCGCACTGGCATAGCCGTGGGGCTACCGAACTGGGCTTCCATCCTGAGACCGGGGGTTCGACTCCCGGCCGGAGCGGCCACTTTCTCCGCTCTTGTTCACCATGCAGAACACTTTGTTCGTGCTGGTCCCTCACGGGCCAACCATTTTGTGCCCCGACTGCTCCGTACGGGGCTCTAAGAAGACGGGGTACCCTTATCAGAGCCTGCGGTCACATGTGAAGCGTAGCCACCAGGCTGATATCAAATTCGTTTGCTGTGTGTGCCGCTGGGACGACCCTAGAGATGGGCGAACAGGCCAATTCGAATTTGAACGAACTCGAACAAATTTGGTCCAAAAATCTTCGAACGAACCGAACCGAACAACGTAATGTTCAAATCCGATCCGAACACGAACAATTATTACCAATTTTTCTTGCTTACGCGTTATAAAAGCTATCCATTCTGGTTTTCAACAGTTTCATTAACGTGTGAACTTGTAGTTATTTATTAAACTGCCACTGCCCCCTCAATTATACCCATTTTTGAGGTGAATTTCTGAAACATATTTCAATTTTGTTCGCCTACGAACTTCTGTTCGTAGGCGTGTCCGAACATTTCGAATCCGAACACCTCATGTTCGTGTTCGAGCGATCACGAACAGCTCGATGTTCGTTCGAGTTCGATCGAATGCGAACATGTTCGCCCATCTCTAGAAGACCCACAAAAAAATTTGACCACCTACCACCTTCAGAAGCAGCATGGGCTTCCCAAGGAAGCCGCAGGCCCCTCCGTCAGTGCGTGGTCACGCTGTTCAACGGGGGCCACACTCCACCCAGCCCCCCTGCACCCCGCGCTGTCGTGGCGCCGGGAGGGGCGGCAACCAGACTACCATCCGTGCCCGCCGGGTTGCCTGCAAGCAGCCTGCAGGCGCATAGCCCGACTTTTCCGTCACCACCACAAGGGCCACCTCTGCACACGCCTTCCTCTGCTGCCACTGACTGGCTCACGCCTCCTGCGCGCGGGCCAGCACTACCGCAGGCGGACCCTACCAGCCCTGTGGCGTACTCCGTCGCGGCGCCTTCCTCTGCCACTCTCTCCACCGGAGATCGTAGCTGCCGCTGCGGTTTCCACCACCACGCAGCCACCAGGCCGCCCATGGGAGGAAGTCGACGCCGAGGTCAGCCGCCTCCTATCGCCGTCGCCGCCCTGGGACCCCATGGCTTGCCAGGACCCAGGTGCAGTCGCAGAGGCTCTTGGGGTAGGGGCCCCGTCAACGACGCCCTCGGGCATAGATGCGGCCCCAGACGCCCCGGGTTTGGCCATGAACCACAGCGCGGATGCTGCCCCCAGGCAAGTAGTTCCTAAATCTCTCAGCTTTGCAGGTGTAAAGGCCAGTTTACTGCCTCCCTTTCACCCCACAGGTCCTACCGCTGCCACGGGGCCATCCGCATCACCCTCACAGCTCATGTCATCGCCGCCGGTGCTGCTAGTTCCGCCGCCGCCGAGCTTCGTGACCACTACTGCCGAAGCCGTCACCTCTCCAGATGACACCAACCGCAGCATCCCGGCGACCACCCCTGCTACACCGGTAAGGTCTCCGGCTACTGCTAGCCCTAACATCTCTAGCCCTGAGCACCTGTTCACCTCGCCACCCGGCTCTCAATCGATACCAACCTCAAAGCCGTCGCAAAAGCAGGCGGAGTGGATTGCCCGCCTTGAGGGTGCTCGTGATTGGGCAGCCTTTGAGGCCGTGGTAGGGGAATGGACTGCCTCTCTTCAACCGCCACGCCAGGCTCGCCGTCAGGGTAGGCCGCGGGGGGGG